GCGCCCCCCGCCGCTGGGTGGGCTGCGGGGCTGCGTCTCGCCCCGCCTCTGGATGGGCTGCAGGGCTGTGGGCTCGCCCCGCCTCTGGGTGGGCTGCAGGGCTGCGGCTCGCCCCGCCTGCACACACGCTGTCCCTGCGCCGGGATCCGTGTGTTTCCGAGTCGTCTGGGAAGCAGCGTGCAGGAGGTGGCAGCGGGGGAAGAGCGGCAAAGGGGTGGTATCGGCGCGGCTGGGAGGGAAGCGGTGACCACGAGGACTCAGTCCATGATGCAAACGGGAGTGCAGGTTTCATCAGCGCCCGCGCGCCGGGGCTCCCGGGCTGGCCCCCGCCCCTGCCAGCCCAGCTTCCTCTTCCTCATCCTCTCCGGGGAGGTCACGGTGCCCCCTGCCCCGTGCAGAAGGGCTTGTTCTGTGACAGCCCTGCCGCGGCGCCAGGCCCGTCCGCGGAGACCCCACCCGCGTCGGGGGAAAGAGCCACACGTGCCCGCGAGGCGCTGCTGGGACGGCGCGCGGCCCGCACACAACGTGGGGTGCCCCGGGAAGGAAAAGGGCTGGGCGAGAGTCGCTCACCCAACGGAGAACGCCCATGTCACCCACACAAACTCCAGGCCGGGCCTCCCCGGACCACGGCCCACCCTGACCCCACCCTCGGCAGGCGGCGGTCCTGGGAGCGTGCGCGCCTGGGTGCTCGCTGTCTCCCCGGGGGCATTGTCGCCCGGGCTCTGGACGGCGCACCCCGAGGGCAGGCAGTGCGCGCGGCCTCCCCCGGGGCCCTCGCTGCCTCCGATGCCCCCGTCCGCTCCCTCCCGTCGCGGCGCCCCGAGCCCGCGCCTACCTCCCGGGGTGGTGCTGAAGAGCGTGCCGCCGGGGGTGCTGCTGTAGTCCCCGGGCGGGAGCTGCACGCCGTCGCCCAGGACCACCCGGCGAGTGGCGGGGATGGCCCGGCTGGGGGTCTGGCTGCAGCTGCCACCCTCGGACATGGTGTCCCGCGCGGCCCCTCAACCCTGCGGCCGCCCGCGCCGCCGGGGACCGCCCCTTCCGCCTCTTCGTCCCCACGCCCCCTGGGACTTGTAGTTCGCGCGGCGCCGCCGCCCACCCGGCTCGCGACCGCTCCGCGGGGCCGCGCTGCTGTCTCGGGCCGGTGCGGGGACCCAGCCGACCCGGCCCACTCGGGAAGGCCCGGATTCTGCATGGAGACGTCGGGGCGGGCGCCCCCCTCGGCGCCCCCTGCGCCTGCCGTGGCTTCTCAGATGAGCGAGTGCGGATTGACTGTCATTGTCATGCTGCCCTTGTTCTTTTCTCGAGCATTCGCGACGCGGTAGATGAAGAAATGGCGAACGAGGCACGTTCCTGGCCTCTGGGGAGGGCGTGGAAGCGCGAACGAACCAGCCAGCGGGGGGCTGGGTCCAGAGCCGAGGTGGGGCAGGGGTCGGACCTCAGGGCAGGTGGGTGGGCCGGGGGACATCAGCCGGTCAAACACGTGTCCCAGTAGTCCTCGAATTGGGGCCAAGGCCCAGCAAGCTGCCCGACATGTGGCAGTCACTCCCTGAGTGAATGAATGCATGGCTGAACGAATGCGTCTTCAAGGAGAGAGAGAAAAATTCAAACAGGACGGAGACGCCTGTTGAGTTAGAGACGTTGATGTTACCGCGGCCACTTCTTTAAGGGGAGAGGAGAGAGAACGGTTTTAAAAAGGGAATTGGGGTCAGATGGTTGAAGGGCATTTCAAATCATGCCAAGGTGTTTAGACTTTGTCCTGCAGGGTAGGAGATATCAGAGATTTTTTAAGCAGGGGAATGACATAATTACAGCTGCTTTCTAGAAAGATGACTGGTGGCTGTGGCGTTTGGGGATGAGTTGGAGGGGGGCAAGCCTGAGGTAGGGAGGCCGGCCCGGCTTAGTGTCACTCCTGAGCTACACTCTGGGCCCACAGGGAATAATACGGGAGCCACTGGCCACAGGTGGACATCGAGCACTTGAAGTGAAGCTAGTCCACGCCGAGGCCTGCTGCAAGTATAAGAGACACACTGGAGTTCAAGACGTCGTGTCGGAAAAGGCATGTATACTATCTCTATAATTTGCTTTTATATTGATTACATGTTGAAATGATATATTGGGTTAAGTAAAATAAATTGTTAAAATTAATATCACCTATTTCTTTTTACTTTTTTTATAGGACTACTAGATATTTATATACATGTGGTTTGCGGCAGAGGGGCTGCAAGCCAGACATTGTGGATATGGTAGGAGCCCTAGCCTGGGCTGAGGGATGTGGGTTCTAGCCCTGGGGCTGCCACTAAATGGCTACCCAGGCTGGACAAATCTCCTTCCACTTCTGGGCCGCAGCTCCATTACCTGTCAGGTGAGGGGGAGGGTTTAAAGATCTTTGAGGGTATGTCTTTGACCAACTCCCTGCTGAATTCTGTTTCCCGCCCAGCCAGATCACCTATGGAGATTTCTACCTCTGTCTAGAGCAGGGACTCATTCATATCAAGTCTTGTAGTCAAGTATAAAGGGACACAGAAAAAAATCCAAAGTGTTTTTCCTACCCTCACAGTCAACCCAACACTTCAGACACTGCATGTGTGTAGTGGATTGAATTATGACCCCTCAAAACTCACTGAAGTTTGAATTGTGTCACCCCCAAGTTTTATGGCTTAGAAACTTAGCCCCCACTGTGACTGTGAAGAGGGTGGGAAATCCTATTATGGTAATTGAAAGGTGGAGCCTTGAAGAGGTGATTGGACTGTAGGACAATGCAGTAGTGAGTGGATTAAAAATGGTGGTCAGGGGCGTAGTTCTGAGGGCTTTAAAAGAAGAGGAGAGTCTGTCTGTCTCTCTTTCTCTCTCTGCTCTCTCTGCTTCCACCATCTTGCAGTGTGAGACCCCTGGGTCACTGTTGCCACCACCAGATGGACTTTGGTCTTTCCAACCTCAGAAACTGTAAACAATAAATTTTGTATTTCCTTATAAATAACCCAGTTTCAAGTATTTTGTAATAAGCAATAGGAACAAACTAATACAATATGTGAGGGTTTTCCCCACACACCAACCAAGCAGCTCAGCACTGCGGGTCCTCTGGCAGACACCAGCTGCATGTCCTCTAATTCAATTCAATTCTAACACTATCTGCCTGGAGATAACTTCAGATCTCACAGGGTGAGGGCTCAGTTCCATAAGATTGCCCCCCACTTTAATGCCAGTCACGAGCACAGATCACAAGCTGTGCTTCTGACCAGCCAGTTGTAAATTGGGGTTCCCATGACCCCTTCCTTGGGTTTGATTAATTTGCTCACAGAACTCAGGGGAACATCTTACTTACGTTTACTGGTTTATCAAAGAGGCTATTATGAAGGATACAGATGAACAGCCAGATGGAGATGTGTGAGAAGGGGCATGGAGCTTCTATGCCCTCTCTGAGCTCGCCACCTTCCAGGAAGCACTGCGTCTTCAGCTATCCAGAAGCATGCTGGGAAATAGATCTCCTGCCCTATTTCCTGATGGCCTAATCCAGCTGGAAGACAAAGGACAAGGGAGCCTATTGATGCACGCCTCTAGGTCAACCTCCCGGGACACAGAGCAGGGTAGAAAAGGGTGGAGAGTGGATCTAAAGTGGCAACAGAAGATTCCAGCACAGCAGACTAGAGAAAAAGTAGGGAGGGGGTGTGGAGAAGCATAGAGCAAATCGTGGTCTTGAACAAATGTGTGTGAGTGTGTGTGTGCACGCAGGAAGTGTGTTGAGTATCACGATGCACTCTTCTTGCTTTGGGGGTGAGGGTTGTGATCTATGTTCATAATCCCCTCACGCATAAGGTGAGGAGTCAGGGTTCCTAGTTCCCAAATGTTCTCTCCTGTTACATTTCTTGCTGTGTAATGGAGATGAAAAAAGGATTACTCAAAGCACCATGAATGTGATGAGAAGCCTGAAGGGACTGCACCTCCGCAACTCCTCTTTTAGAAGGAGAAGACTGGGTACAACTGCGATTCAAAGTTAGCTTCTGTTTTTCATTGTAAAGACAAGGAAGTTTCATAAGAAAAATCAGTTGATTTAATCATTACAAAAGGACACAAAAACATGGGCAGTGTTATAAAAGTTATCTATGGCTAAGTATAGCTTAAACAGTGGAAACTAGTAACATCAGTAAGATTAACAACATGACATTCCAAAGTACAATTTCTGAAAAGCTAAGTTGGTCAAACTGGAATCATTATCTAAAGTATAACCCCTCCTTAAATGATATAAGCAAAAGTTGCATTCGTCTGATAAAATCTAAGTATAATTATCTCTCAAGTTTCCACCAACAGACAGCTTGCCCCTAGCAAACATTTTTTTTTCACATCTTTCCCTTCAGCAATTCTTAAAACCTCTTAACAGGATCAGTATGGCAATCACCTGTTAGCTCTAAAATCATTTAAGTATGCAATCCCATACCCAAGCAGTGATTAGAGTTGATTAGATGGGCTGTTGCCATGCTATCTATAGACTGTTGTCTCCTAAACCGAGGACTTTTGTCCCATACCTGCATTTACCTAAAAACCCTATTCTAAAAATCAAATGAGAATCAAGATTTCTAACCCTCTACACTTTCCCACACCCAGATACCTCTTCCATTCACAGGTTGATGCCTGAAATCCTCCCATTTTAGCTTTTGTTCTTTTTGCTAAAGGTTATGCAAACTGTAAATGTGTCCTTGACATGGGTGATACTGCAAGGAAGAAAGAAATGAAATGGATGTTCTTTGCGCTTCTACCTTGTGCCTGCACTGTGCAGGAGACTTTGTGTGGATGGAATCACTGACACATCACCACAGCCTTATAAAGCAAGTATTATTATCCTCACTTCACACATGAGGAAAATGAGGTGTGTGAAATGGTGATGGTGGGGTGGGGGGGTTAGCCTGCCCTTGCCCAAAGCCCAAGTTTAAATATTTTTATAACCTTCTTAGTCCAAAGCTCCTATACTTAACCACTACGCCAGTGATTCCCAAACTTTGGAGCTTCACATTAGCTAAGGAGCTTGTAAGTGGGTGGGATCTCTAGCTGACAGTAGGTGTTCATCTGAGAAGTGGGGAAAGCCACCCCAAAGAAGAGAGCACACAGAAGAGGCAAGGACAGTGTGCTAGTCTGCTTGGGCTGCCACAACAAAATACCAAGACTGAGTGGCTTATACAACAGATATTTATTTTTCACAGTTCTGGAGGCTGGGAAGTCCCAGATCAAGGTGCCAACATAGCTAGTTCCTGGGGAGGGCCCTGTTCCTGGGTGTAGACTGCTGCCTTTTCACTGTGTCCTCCTAGGACAGAGACAGAAGAGAGAGAGAGAATGCTCCGGGTCTCTTGCTCTTATAAAGACACTACTCACATCATGGGGGTCCTACCTCATCTAAACCTAATGACTTCCCAAAGGCCCCACCTCCCAAAGCCGTCACATTCAGGTGAGGGCTTCAACATATGAATTTGGAGGGACAGAACACAAACATTCCATGACAGATAGGAACCTTGACGACTTCTGCCTGGGGTGGGTCTACCTTGCTCCTCTGGGTGATGACAGTGGCCCTTCTCCCGAACCCCCAGGAAGGGACATAGGGTCACTGCCTTCCTTTTCCCTTCCCCTGACTCTAGCTGAACCAGGACACTCAGACTTCTAGCCTCACTGGATCTCATAGAAAGCAACACAGTCATTGGTGACCTACAGATGCTTATGGGGTTAAGTCCCAATAGACCTATGGTGAGTCAAAAATGCATTTACTATGCTAACCTACCAAACATCCCAGCTTAGCCTAGCTCACCTTGGACACACTCGGAACCCTGACCTTAGCTTATAGTTGGGCAGACTCATCTAACACGGAGCCTATTTTATACCGACGTGTGGAACACGTGTAAGTTATTTAACACTGTGCTGAAAGTGAAGAACAGAACGGCCGTAGGTACCTGAAGGACGGTTTCTGCTCAGTGCGTGGCTCTCGCACCATCAGAAGGTCAGAAATTGAGGCTGAACCACCCGAGGCAGGGA